AAGAACATGTAATGAATCAAATACTCTCATAAAACCCATAGAAAGTATCAATACATCAAATGTATCTAAATAAAGCTCATAAACAGTACATCATAGAGCACTAAACCAACAGCTAGTTGGTTTTTGAATATTGATTTACGATCAGGTTACTACCAGATACGTGTTCTAGATGATGATATAAAGAAAACTGCTTTCAGAACAAGGTATGGACACTTTGAATTTGTTGTCATGCCGTTTGGACGCACCTGCAGTTTTTATGGAGTTGATGAACACAACATTCACGGATTATTTGGACGAGTTTATTATCACCTTCATTGATGACATCCTTGTGTATTCCAAAATCTCGTGAGGACCATATGATACATTTAGAGAAGGTGTTGGAATGCTTAAGGAGAGAAAAGTTATATGCAAAGCTGAGTAAGTGTGACTTTTGGATGCAAGAGGTAGGATTTTTGGGGCATGTGGTATCTGCGGAAGGAGTGAAAGTAGATCCATCCAAAGTGTCGACTATAGTTGATTGGGTGAGACCGTCTAATGCTACAGAGATTCGAAGCTTCCTCGGGTTGGCTGGGTATTACAGAAAGTTTGTAAAGGGTTTTGCCAACCTATCTAAGCCATTGACGAGATTGACGGGAAAGGGTGTGAAGTTTGAATGGGACAAAAAATACGAGACAAGTTTTGAAGAGTTGAAGAAGCGATTGACATCAGCTCCTATTTTGGCATTACCAAAGCCCGGAAAACCGTTTGTGGTGTATAGTGATGCCTCTCACCAAGGGTTAGGATGCGTGTTGATGCAAGAAGACCACATTATTGTGTATGCATCACGCCAACTGCGAAAACATGAAGAAAACTATCCTACTCACGACTTAGAACTTGCAGCTGTGATTTTTGCACTGAAGATTTGGAGATCTTACTTGTATGGGGAAAAGGTTCAAGTATACACTGACCATAAAAGTCTCAAGTATGTGTTCTCTCAAAAGGAACTAAATTTGAGACAACGCAGGTGGATGGAATTAGTGGCAGATTACGATGTGGATATTGCCTATCATCCCGGCAAAGCTAATGTGGTTGTAGATGCCTTGAGTAGAAAGAAAGTTGAGTTATCTACTTTGAGATTGGCAAGTGATCTAACGACTCAAATGAGTTTAATACAGATATCAGCTCGGGAGAATTGAGATGGATTGGAAACTAGTGCTATAAAATGGAATAGTTGCTGGAAAAGGTGAAGATGGCTCAAGAAACAGATGAAAAGACGAAAGAATTGATGGAAAAGCCCGAAGATTTTACAAGGGCAGGGTATTCCACTTCAAATGATGGGTTGATACTATTGAGAGGTCGTGCTTATGTACCTAAAGATGAAGAATTGAGGAAAGAGTTATTGAAAGAGGCGCATAACACGCGATATTCCATACATCCGGGTACTACAAAGATGTATCAAAATTTGAAGCAGTACTTTCTTTGGCATGGCATGAAAAAGGATATTGCAAGATTTGTTACTCATTGTCTAACGTGTCACTAGTTAAAGCCGAGCACCAAGTACCTGCAGAAAAACTGCAGTCGCTATCGATACCTCAGTGGAAATGGGACTTAATTACAATGGATTTTGTAGTTGGTTTGCCAAGGACACCAAAGGGAAATGATGCGATATGAGTTATTGTGGATCGTTTGACTAAGTCAGCACATTTTATCTCGATTAAGAAGACGTTTTCAATGCCTCGTTTAGCACAAGTTTACCTAGAAGAGGTAGTAAGACTTCATGGAGTCCCTACTAGTATTGTGTCAGACAGAGACCCACGATTCACTTCGAGATTTTGGAACAGTTTCCAAGAGGCTATGGGCACTAAGGTACGATTAAGTACGGCTTATCATCCTCAGACCGATGGGTAATCAGAGAGAAAGATACAAACATTAAAGGATATGTTAGTGCTTGTGTATTGGATTGGGGAGGAGATTGGGATCGCCACTTACCACTTGTGGAATTTGCTTACAACAACAATTTTCATTCAAGTATCGGGATGTCACCCTTTGAAGCGTTATATGGAAGACCTTGTAAGATGCCTCTTTGCTGGACAGAAGTTGGGGAAAGACGATTGTTGGGTCCTACTATCGTGGATGAAACCACAATAAAGATTAAGATTATTCAGAAACAAATGAAAACAACACAGGATAGACAGAAAAGTTACGCAGATAAACACAGACATGACTTGACCTTTCAAGAGAATGATGAAGTATTTCTCAAAGTCCAAGCAACTAAAGGAAAGACCCGTTTTGGGATGGTTGAGAAGCTAAAACCCAGATTCATTGGACCTTTCAAGGTATTGAGTAAGATAGGGGCAGTGGCTTATAAGGTTGCCTTACCCCCCGAGTTGGCACAAGTTCATGATGTGTTTCACGTGTCCATTCTTCGAAAGTACCATCCTGACCCTGATCATGTTATTGATTATCAACCGCTTGAGTTAAAACCGGATGAGACTTATGAAGAAGAACCTATCGAGATTGTTGAACAAAAGGTTAAACAACTGCGGAGAAGAGAAATACCTCTAGTAAAGGTCGCATGGACACACCACAAAGGAGGAGATGCAACTTGGGAATTAGAGGACGACATAAAGACTCGTTATCCCCCACCTTTTTGGTAAGAAATCGTACATACTATAGGTCGTTCTAGAATTCGGTACGAATTCTTCTTTTAAGGGTGGTGAAATTATAATAAACGAATTTAAAAAAATAGAGTTTAGGGGGTAAGTGATAAAATTAAAAAGTTCTAGAAAAATCTGTTATTTCATGGAGGGCCTTTTAGTATGAAATAAAAGTTTGGGCAGAATTTTTAAATTTCAGAAAATATAGGACTGGACTGCAATTTCGCTACGGTTTTTTCTTCTTCTTCCTTCTCCTCTTTCCATGGCCGAACCAAAAAGCTCCCAAACAAGATTTTTATTCCGATTTGAGTCCTTGCTACTTTCTTATCTCTTTCGTCGTTTTTCTTTCACCTCCATTGTCAACGAACTTTGTAGATTTCCGGTGAACGGAAGCTCGGTTTTGGGCGAGACTTGAGGGGTTTGGATGCTCTTGGCGAGCTAAATCTTTCTTGGTAGTGTCGTCGCCGGAAACAGTGAACCGTCACCGAAAAAATCACCAGAAAACATCGGAGAAAAATCAAGTTTTAGACAATTCTAGTTCGATTTAGGCCAAAATAACTTCGGATTTGGATTCCTTGAGTGACTTTACATAAGATACGGAAAATTAGATGATTCCGGGATATATGATCGCCGCCTGCTGATAACATGTATTTTGGTGATATTTTGATATAAGACGTCTAGTGCATTTTACTCGGTTTTGCATATTTATAGGCATTCTAGAGCACATTTGGTCTCGATATTGCTTGGTTGCTTTCTTTGGTGTCAAAACAGGTATTCATGCATAAAAGAGAGCAAAAGGAGTGGAAAACATGGACTACGGAATATCACAGACGAAACGGAAACATTTGGAGTTGTTCCGGGGAAAAACATGAAGCCTAAAAAGTCAGATCTTGCAAGTTCAATAACTTCCATTCTATAAATCCAAATTGTGCGTTCTCTATCATTGGAAAGCTCTCTTCAATATCTACGCATAGACACCAAGATCGCAAAAATCCGACATTGGAGCAGAAAGTTATGAGCAAATCTGTCAAGCATGTTCGGGTTGAGGAATCGACACGGACCGTGTTTAATTCGACATGGCCGTGTTGTGTCCATGCTGAAAAAAGTGAAGTTTTGCTCAGAGAATTGACACGGACCGTGTTGTCATTTAACACGGCCGTGTTGATTCAAACTCGCCCGTATTCAGTCCACGTCTAAAGTGCAGATTTTTAACAGAGAATTGACACGGACCATGTTGCATTCGACACGACTGTGTTGCATTACGGGAAAACTTCCTATTTTGCATCGGACTTCCATTTTCAGCAAAGGAAGAAACCAAGCCGCCAAGTCAATAAAGAGAGGATGTCTTAGACTTCATAAATCATCGAGAGATCACAGTAGAAGCCAGAGAACTCGAGAGAGAATCAAGACAGAGTTTCCCGGGAACAGAGATTGAAGAATCGTCGTCGAGAGATCGCTGCGAGTCTTCTTTATCTGTTTCTATGTTTCTTCTTATTGATTTGAACTCGTTTGTTGTTATGAGGAGTGAGTAGTCGCTTCACTGTAGCTAGGGATTTAACCTTGTAGGGATTTGTTTGGTTTTTTTTATTTTCCGAGACTACGTTATCGATACTCGACGGTTTAATTGAATTGAGTTTATTGCTTTTGATCTTCTTGGCCAGTTGATTGATTGATTTTAGATTCTGATTTGCAACGAGAGTTGAGATTAGATTTTGAATGAATTCATTGAATGAATTGATTAAGACTATTGAAAGATAGGTTAATCGGTTTAGGAACTGTGATAGTGATCGTTAATGCATTTGATATTTTAATCTATTAGGTTGAGAGATCGATATGTTAAATTATTGGATAGTGGATTTAGGACTTGAGAGAGTCAATCTGATATTAGAACTTGAGATCCCCGATTTGAGTTCGATATTTGTAGATTCTCCATCCTTAGAAACAATCCATACGCATTAAGGTTATCCCGAAGCTACGGTGGATTATCTATCTGATTTTACTTAGTTATCTGATTTTACTTAGTTTATTTACTGCTTTATTTTCGGTATTCATCTATTCCATCTGCTATTTCCTGATCTGATTCTTAGTCGAGTCTTGTTCCTAGAGTTAACTATTCCCTGTGTTCGACCCTGGTACTACAGTTGATCCGTATCCTTGCGGTATTCGTTGTATCTAGGTTTTTATCACTTGAGCATTATTTATATACCTAGATTTGCGATATCAAGTTTTTGGCGCCGTTACTGGGGAATAGATTAGCGCTAGGATAAAGATTCCTTTGAATCTAGATTTTTTTTTTCTTTTCTTTTTCTTTTCCCTCGATTTCTTGATCTATTCTTTGTGTTTGTTCTACTTTCTGGTGTGCAGGATTACGGTGTATGACCAGGAGTTCTGGGCCTGACAACCTAGTATATCTTCACCCTGAAATCGAGAACTCCACTAAGCGCAATCGAAAGAAGAAACGACAACAAAGAAAGATGGAGGAACGTGCTATAGTTGCTGAGAACAACAATGACACTTATGGGGTATACCTTCAGCCTAAGTACATTCAGCAGCTTTCATGCATTCGTCGGCCTGACATCGACCGTAACAATTTCGAGTTTCAACTGGCATTCATCAATATGCTGAGACCACCAGATTTTTCTCTGCTAGGTACGCCTCGTTTCTCAAACTCATTTTGTTGTAGAGATGCTTTTAAACTTCATGATCCAGGTTGGCAGAAGATCGATAATCTTCGTCCATTAGACCCATCTGGTAGTTGAGAGAGTTTGGTCAAGCTAAAGACCCTAAACAAACGCTTTCGGGAGGCAACTCGAGTTCTTAGGTTAGTTTTGTTTCCTTCCTTTTTCTTTTTGCATCGGATATTGGTTTGTGTCTCTTATCACTAGGTTGAGTTCTAATGAGGAATCTTTTTGCATCGGATATTGGTTTGTGTCTCTTATCACCAGGTTGAGTTCTAATGAGGAATTGAGGAGGCGAGGAAGCTAGCTATGCGATAGACGTAGGCAGACTTAAGTGCGAGTGAACGAACATCGCGAGCTAAGTATTCTTTTTCTTTCTTGATTTTTTTCTCTTTTGACTCATTTTATTGGTTGCCTCTACTAGACGAGATTTGACACCGAGGACAGTGTCCAGTTCAAGTCTGGGGGAGAATTCCTCTAATGCCAAACCATATCTATTTAGAGTAGTGTTGCATGCATTTTTCTCTTTTTAGGATTATTTTTTTATTTTTTTTTTCACTTTTTAGTTGCATGTGCATATAAGATGTTTTAGGATCATATAGTTTGTTGTTAGGATTGTGCATGTACATATAGTGTTTAGGACATATAAGATCATGTGCATAAAACCGTTTTGACCATTGATGTGATGATTTATGGTATGAGAGAGTAGAAACGTCTTGAAAACATGGTGATCCGTTAAACATGGTTAAGTTTTGTTGAATTGATTGCTTGATCTTTAGGATTGTCTAAAATGGTTCGTGGGATAGAAATCGTTGGTTGGAACCCATAGGACCGATGTTGTCTGACCGAGTAGAAAAGTTTCTATAGGAACCGTCCCCATTTTTGTTGAAATTGGTAAAGTCTATTATCAAATGCATCCTTATTTCTTCATGTTCAGAAAAAGATAGTAAGCATCTCGACACTCCACTATCATGATCTCGTCAACGAAAATCGTTCGAGGACATGAGTGCATCGATTAGATGGTTCGGGTCTAAGTTGTGGGTCGGGTCATCCAATGAATAAAATCGACAAAAAGAGCGATTATGAACCCTTCAACTTCAACGTCCTAGGAACCCGAGATGCTAGTAAAAGAAAAAAAAAATCTAGCTAGATGAAAGAAAAAAAAGAGAAGAACGAAAAGAATGAATACCAAAAGCGTAGACTAGATACGATTAGGTAGAATGGCGTGATAGGTTCGAGAAACATGCTTGGTAGATGATTGAAGTTCTTGGATTGGTTCTTGGTAGCGGTATAAATCCCATAGCTAGGAAAGACTATCCTTTAGAGAGGGAGATCATACTAGATAGACTTGATCATTGTTCATGGGGATCTAGGTCGGATAGAGGTTTCGCTCTCGATTATCATTTTGAGTTATGTCATTGTCTCGCCCTCCTTTCAGACCGCTTTTCATGGAGTATTTGCTCGAGGACGAGCAAAGGTTTAAGTCTGGGGGAGTTTGATAACATGTATTTTGGTGATATTTTGATATAAGACGTCTAGTGCATTTTACTCGGTTTTGCATATTTATAGGCATTCTAGAGCACATTTGGTCTCGATATCGCTTGGTTGCTTTCTTTGGTGTCAAAACAGGTATTCATGCATAAAAGAGAGCAAAAGGAGTGGAAAACATGGACTACGGAATATCACAGACGAAACGGAAACATTTGGAGTTGTTCTGGGGAAAAACATGAAGCCTAAAAGGTCAGATCTTGCAAGTCCAATAACTTCCATTCTATAAATCCAAATTGTGTGTTCTCTATCATTGGAAAGCTCTCTTCAATATCTACGCATAGACACCAAGATTGCAAAATTCCGACATTGGAACAGAAAGTTATGAGCAAATCTGTCAAGCATGTTCGAGTTGAGGAATCGACACGGACCGTGTTTAATTCGACACGGCCGTGTTGTGTCCGTGCTGAAAAAAGTGAAGTTTTGCTCAGAGAAGTGACACGGACCGTGTTATCATTCAACACGGCCGTGTTGATTCAAACTCGCCCGTGTTCAGTCCATGTCTAAAGTGCAGATTTTTAACAGAGAATTGACACGGACCGTGTTGCATTCGACACGACCGTGTTGCATTACGGGAAAACTTCCTATTTTGCATCCGGACTTCCGTTTTCAGCAAAGGAAGAAACCAAGCCGTCAAGTCAATAAAGAGAGGACGTCTTAGACTTCATAAATCATCGAGAGATCACAGTAGAAGCCAGAGAACTCGAGAGAGAATCAAGACGGAGTTTCCCGGGAACAGAGATTGAAGAATCGTCGTCGAGAGATCGCTGCGAGTCTTCTTTATCTGTTTCTATGTTTCTTCTTATTGATTTGAACTCGTTTGTTGTTATGGGGAGTGAGTAGTCGCTTCACTGTAGCTAGGGATTTAACCTTGTAGGGATTTGTTTGGTTTTTATTTTTCGAGACTACGTTATCGATACTCGGCAGTTTAATTGAATTTAGTTTATTGCTTTTGATCTTCTTGGCCAGTTGATTGATTGATTTTAGATTCTGATTTACAATGAGAGTTGAGATTAGATTCGAAACGAATTCATTGAATGAATTGATTAAGGCTATTGAGAGATAGGTTAATCGGTTTAGGAACTGTGATAGTGATCGTTAATGCATTTGATATTTTAATCTATTAGGTTGAGAGATCGATAGGTTAAATTATTGGATAGTGGATTTAGGACTTGAGAGAGTCAAATCTGATATTAGAACTTGAGATCCCCGATTAGAGTTCGATATTCGTAGATTCTCCATCCTTAGAAACAATCCCTGCGCGTTAAGGTTATCCCGAAGCTACGGTGGTTTATCTATCTGATTTTACTTAGTTAGTTTATTGCTCTGTTTTTTATATTCAATTCACATACTTCATTCCATATTTTCTGATCTAATTCTTGGTTGAGTCTTGTTCCTAGAGTTAACTATTCCCTATGTTCGATCCTGGTACTACAGTTGATCCGTATCCTTGCGGTATTCGTTGTATCTAGGTTTTTATCACTTGAGCATTATTTCTATACCTAGATTTGCGATATCACCTGCCACCGACCGCCGACCACCGCCACCAACCACCGTCGTCGGAAAATTTTCCGGTGACATGGGTTGAACCGTTTCAATCCCGTGATTTCAAATCCGAAATCCGTTTTATAAAATTCAAAGTATTTAGAGATATTCGAACGATTTAAAATAAAACAGTTTAACCATAAGACTTACCATTCGATTAACGTTTTTTTTGTAGTAAATATTTTTGAAAGAAAAATTGTTGATTAAAATTATTATATGATAATTAATTATAGGTGAAGAAAATTTCGAGGTTATTGAACCCGAGATCGAGGATTAGAGCGAATCTTTCAGGGTTCATCGTTTAGATCAAGGTGAAGGAACTCGACAGAACTCATCTTTCTTCTATTCGCTTAGACATGATGATAGGGAACATAGATATCATGCGGTTAGGATTTTAGGATAGACGCCTTAAATTTTCTTGCGAATTTATGATGCATGTTGATTGTTGATTGATGACTGAAGAGTGATGATTGATGATTGATGACGATTGATGATTGATGAATAATGAATGATGATTGATGATTGATAAATTTTTGTTGAGTGATTATGGCTTGTGACGTACATGTTATGTGATGATGTTTCTTAATGGATTTATTGGATCGTTAGAATGAGTTGAACTGTTGATACTAATTAAATTTTGGCATGATGTTCGGAAAGATAGGAGAAGTAAAGAATTGAGTTAGGGACTGTGATGTGACCTCAGACTGTGCTAACAATATTTTTAAAGTGAGTTTTGAGACCATGGTACGGCGGCGATCCGTATATGATGGTATGATAACAACCTGGGCATGGCTGCGATCCATGTGGAGTTATAACCTCGACTACGGCGGCGATCCGTAGAGGGTTATGACTATTAGTTGAGTTTTGAGGCCATGGTACGGCGGCGATCCGTATGTGATGGCATAACGATCCGGACATGGTTGTGATCCATGTGGAGTGGTAACCCCGACTACGGCGGCGATCCGTAAAAGATTATTACTATTGATCGTGTTTTGGTAACCCCGACTACGACGGCGATCCGTAGAGGGTTACAAAGATATTTTTGATTTTGTTTTATAAAAGAGTTTTAAGCTAAGTCTGAAGGGTACTGAATGGTCCTAGAGTTTGGACTCGTTTTAAAGAATCGAACAAAAAAAAGTTAGGAGAAGAACGTGAATCGATAGATTGAGTTTTGTTTGAGTTGAATGTTGATTGAATTTGTTTTCTATTTGATTGTCTATGTTGGGTACGGAGGGGAAGTTTATAGTCTTGCAACCTTACTGAGCTATTCGCGTATCTCACTCCTTCCTTTTTCTCCACAGATGAAAGGTGAAGCAGATTATTTTGGTTGGATTCGGTAGTTTGCCAGAAAGACGAAGATTTAGAATTTCTATTTCCTTTATTCAATTTATTCATGAAATTAATATTCAGACTTAAGTTATTGAAATTCATTGTTTTAGACTTCCGCTATAGAGCCTGATTTTGATGGTTGATTTTAGAATAAATCAGATTTTTTTTTATAATCCAAATGATGATTCAACGATATCCGAAATATCGGATTTTGGGTCGTTACAGGAGCACTTATCAACATGTTTCTTGGTTTTTCAATATAATTTTCAGAAATCGGTGATAACATTCCATTGGAAAAAAGCAAGAAGCTAACCAAGTCTGTACACATCCCGGCTAAGAACCTGTTCACCATTCCCACCGCAAATAGAGCTATTTGATTTAACGCGACATCTCCCCATTTGTCGACCTGTAAATACAAATTAATTCGCATCTTTTATACTATAACGCAAAGAGTTAGAAGATGGAATATTACAAAAATACCTTTAAATGTCGATTTCACTTACATGACATACCCTTAAAAAAAACCTTCAAAAAAAAACTGAAAAAGAATGAAAAGACATCGTTACCCCTTTTAAAAAATACACGTGTCAACATCTGAAGGAGAAAGACCAAAAGTTGGGAAGTTACTAAATTAAAAAAATTTGAAAAACCAAACAGTTTTTTTTTTGCCCCTTTTCGACAGACACTTTCATTTCTTCATAGTTTGTTTCTTCTTCATTTTCTCTTCACTCTGTGATTTTTCTGTACGATCTTTCTGTGCGAGATCGTGTTTGCAAGTAAATTTGCACGAAGAATGGCTTCGTCTTCATCATCTTCGGCCCCCTCTTCGGACCCTACTTGCGAAGACCTCCAGGTATAGTTTTTGAACTCCGCAAAAATCAAATTTTTTAGGGTTTCGGGTACACATTGAGATTCGGTTTTAGATTTTCTATTAAGTTTTCGTTAAGAATAGGGTTTGAAATAAAAATTTGAAAAACTATGGTTTGAATGACAATTTGTCACCGAAATATCGAAATAGGGTTTTCGGATTGGGTGAGAAACAGTGTTTTGTGAAAAAGACGGATAGAAATCGAGTTACGATGATATTGTCGACAGTCGGATGCACTAAAACATAGATTAATGGTCATGCTAGATATTAGTTAAACTGAGCGCACTCGTCAAACAAGTCAAACTATTCGAGTCTAAAAAATGTTCAAACTCGTCAAACAAGTCGGAGTTTGACGAGTTTAACGAGTTTGACGTGTTTGACGAGTTTGATAATGAGTGTTAAATTTGTTTTTGTAGGTACCTTTTGTGTATGATTTTAAGAACATTCATATGGCTCCTAAGATCACGACGAAATGTTATCCATATCAGACTGTTAGATCTCTTAAAAAGGCCTTGACGGATGAAGAATTTACATATTTCAAAAAAGAATCTCAGTTTCGGCATATTTTCCATCTTGGATGTAAGGACACATTGAAGATGGTTCCGGCATTAGTCCTCTTACATTGGGCACTAAAATTGGAAGGAGAAGTGAAACAGCTATGGTTTGTTCTGAATGATCAAGAGGATGTAGAAACTGCACAGAACGAGCAATGTATGATTTTACACTTTACACTTTATTTGAACAGTCCGAGTTAGATTGGTTTGACTCTTTTGGTTGATGAGTTTGATCGGTTTGACTCTTTTGGTTGACGAGTTTGACTAATATATATATAATTGTTCATATGTAGGATATCAGTCTGCGCAAGAATGTGACAATGATCAAGAGGATGTAGAAACTGCACAGAACGAGCAAGGTATGATCTTACACTTTACACTTTATTTGGGCAGTCCGAGTTAGATTGGTTCGGCTCTTTTGATTGATGAGTTTGACCGGTTTGACTCTTTTGGTTGACGAGTTTGACAAGTTTTACCATTTGGGTTGACGAGTTTGATTGATGTTCATATAATTGGCCATATGCTGGAGCTGATGATGAAGAAGATGATAGTGATGCGATTCCCCCTACTCCTAGAGCAGTATCTAATACCCTAGAGCGGAATCTGAGCTGGAATCTTCGGTTTTTGATGATGGAGGGATACCTGCTCAGGAAAAGGAGGATGTAGAGGTCCCTGCTGCTCCCAAGGATCCAGTTCAGAGTAGTAAACGACCGAAGAGGAAAAGAAAGCCAACTCTTAAAAGTCCATATACTATTGTGGGTTCGACTGATCCACCCTCCAAAAAACGACGGGCAAAGAGAGAGACAAGAGGTAGAAAAGGAAAGAAGAACAAAGATCGTGTGTAATCTGCATTGATCCCAGTACAAGAAGGTACATTTGTGCCGATAGAATCCGCATTGGTGCCGATACAATCCGCTGCTGCTCCGGATTATGTTGGATCCCTCGACAGCCTATGGTCTATGACAATGTTGTGCGAGTTGAAAGTTTTATTGAAACAAGCACAAGAAAAGCGAGTGCTCTCTTCAAGTTTATGCAAAAACCGAAACAAGAGAGGTTATGGATGTCGGGGTTGGAATATCTACGAAACCCACAGTTTTGGGAAGACCTTCTACAAGAAGGTGTATGGCTCAATGATCAAGTAAGTGTTTTCACATAAAGTTTATCGAGTTTGACGAGTTTGACGACTGTTTGACCCATTTGACTGTTTGTTTTCACAGCATATCGATGAAGCCATGTATGACATCCGGAAACGTGTACTCCAAACTGAACCGAACAGTAGCAAGTACCTTCTGTGTGATGTGCAGTGTTGTGAATGCTTCAAATGGTGGAAATTGGGGCAGAAAGATCTCGGTCTTCTTGGACAATACATGAGTGGTGAATTACCAATTGACGGTGGTAAAAGAAAATTGGACCAATACAAAGGTTTTATCAGTGTGTTGAACATTCCGTCATTGGTAGATCCTTATGTAAGTGTTCATTGGGTCACTATTAGAGTGGACTACAGGAACACGTCAATTCAAGTGTATGACTGCAATCCGAGAATGAAGGAGGCGACACTTAAAGTGATTCATCACTTATGCAGAAGTATCGATGGCTAGGAAGTGTCGATGTCTACCGAGGAAGGTTGGGATTCTTCTTCGTACTATTTCATTTGTTAAGAACCTCTTTAATTTATTAGTATTTTATTTCTTAAGAACCTCTTTCGTATTAAGTTGTATCTAATCAGGTTTAAAACTTTAGCAAAACATCTTGTTTTATTCATGTTATATTACTGATCATATATAATTCATATGTACTAAATCTATGCATTACGTCAAACTCGTCAAACACGTCAAACTCGTCAAACTCTCTGATTTGGCGAATTTATCAATTGCGAACTACGAAAATGTTAATAAGCACCTCGTGTAACAAATTTGATAAGTAAATAATAATCGCAGCTATCTAAATTTAGTATCTTATTTTGTGTAGCAATGCATGTTCCCCCAAACGAAACCCTAATGTTCTATTACACTTTATGTTACACATTGGTCTAGGGTAGAATTTATCATTTTCCCAAATGCTCTCCTTATAACAAAAACACGCTCAATACGTCATAATAGACCCTGTACACAACTTTGAACCATCGGAATGTCATTTTGACCATAGGTTGACCGCGTTGACTCGTCAAACTCGTCAAACACGTCAAACTCGTCAAACTCTCTGATTTGGCGAATTTATCAATTGCGAACCACGAAAATGTTAATAAGCACCTCGTATAACAAATTTGATAAGTA